GAGCCCCATTCCATTAGTTTCGGATCGTCACGACACGTGCGCTGCACAGCTCTCGGGCTTTCCGAGCCGGAGAGAGAGTCGTACCTTCTGATTTACATTCGAAAGTAAACAAGAGAGAAATATTTGCCCAGTCAATATGGCCGACTTCCTGCTTCATAGCGGCTTCACAACTAGTGTAGTAAGGCCCTCTCCAACCTTTCCTTCCTCCGTGCTCCAAAGGGATGAACCGGCCGGTGAATGCAGGCAGCGCGCAAAGCGTTGCCAAGGTCACTAGCCATCATCCTCCTCTCCTGGCTCTGTCTTTCCCCGTATTTTGCTGGCGACGGTTCGCGTTGAGTCGCGCTCAGAGCGCTCGACGACGGCCGCCTGGATTCGACAATGAAGGAATTACGACGTGGTGCTTGTGTGTACACTTGGATTAACGCGGACTGCTGCTTTTACGTTTCGCTGCACCCATGAAGTCTGGAGCAAGTCTCGACACGTCACCACGCCACGCTGTATAACTCTGGCTTCAAGATAGTCACGACCAACACACGACAGCAAGAGTTGGGAAGGCCAGCATGGCGGCCGAGAAGACAGCAGGCCTATCAGATATACACTTTTGTCCGACTCGGGGCAGAAATCAGCGCTGGATATAAAACGGCAAGCTTGCAACCGTTCCCCCTTCAAGGCGATTACCAGCTCTCGCTTAATTGCCTGGAAAGGGTAGGTGGTCGCAATCTTGCCGCTAGTTCCATATCAGAAGCGAATGGTTGTTTTGCTCGCTGCGAGATGACGTGAAAAGAGAGTGTGGTTGCTCTCGCTCCTGCTTGAACGCGCTGCCAGCCACCGCGGGAGCGCGCAGGCCACGCGCTCCCGTGTTCCCTTTCATAAAAATTGACACTGTACATAAATAGGGCATTATAGATGCGCCGGTCACATGAGCATTGGTATATGCCGTTTTTCAGTAACTGCCGCTCTCTGGATCGTGGACGTGTCGGCGGTCACGCGTTTATTATGTGGAAATCTGTTCGTTTATCAAATTATTCGTCATTTAGATTTGCCACACATTGTTGTTGCCTTTCATGGTAGCGTTTCAATGTCTCACGCTTGACCATAGCTGTTGCCTGCAACAACACAACTGTTGCGTTGCTAATCATATGATAATAATATCTGGCGTTTAATGTCCCAAAACCACGATATCATGATGAGAGGCGCTGTAGTGGAAGGCTTCGGAAATTTCGACCACGCCGGCTTTTTTAACGTGTGCCCGAATTTAAGCACACGGGCCTCAAGCAATTTCCCCTACACTTAAAATGCAGCCACCACTGCCGGGATTTGATCCCGCGACCTACGGGTTATCAGTCATGCGTCATAACGACTAGACCACAGCGGGGTGCTTGCTGATTATATGGGGCAACGTCCAATACCCGGCAATATGGAAGAAAAAAATGAGGAGAGACCTTCTCCGTCAGCGCCGCCACCACAGGGAGGCGGACCCTACAAAAGCTGAACGACCAGCTCCGGGTGGCCCGGCAGGCTGAGGATGCCGTCCTAGTCGGGACTCCGAATCGCCACCCCTAGCCACCAAGAGAGATAGTGGTTGGGGAAAGAAGCAGATAAGAAGGACGCTATTTTCTACCTCCCGTCGTTTGGAGGCGGCTCAGTATCCTTAGGAATGGAAAAGGGGAAGATGATAGAAACAAAGAGAGAGAAGATGGAAATAAGGAGGGCAAGAGGATATCTTAGCGCAGGCGGGAAGACGAAACGCAGAGAATTCGTACTATGAGGCGGCGAGATCAAGACTTAACTGCCAGCCCATTCTGTGAAGCGAAGTCTTCTTCTCTACGAAGCAAAACTTGATGCGATAGAAAGAAAGAAAACGAAATTGGTGGTCAGGCACTCGCACGCCAGGCTACGCTTTCCCCCATTTCACATGTCAGAGGAAGGACTCCAATTTTTTCAGCGGTGCCAAAGTCTTCAGAACTTACTTGAACACGTGACTTTACGCATGACATAATGTTTATGCCTGATAACTCCGTATTTGAATTTGGTGTTTTGGGCGTTGAATAGACCATCCACAGATGACGCCAATTATCTCATCTGAAGTGTTGTCTGGTTTCAAGATTTTTGTCTTTTTATTTTTGATATGAGGTGAAGGGGTGGACTTCTCCCTTGTTATGCCACAGACATTTTCCTCGTTCGGGAGCACGTCTCACGAGATCGAGCGCTGTTCCGACGAACTGTCTCCCCCCCTCCCAGCGCCGCCTTCCATGCAGGACAGCCGTGCAGTTCCGGGGATAACGTCGCTTCCTCCGCCGAACCACCGTGCAGTTCCGGGTATGGCTGCGTCTCCTCAGCCGAGCCACTGTGACGTTCCAGGGAAATGGTCTCGCAGAAAAGACCAAAACGTTATTTAAGGCCGTGCCGGCCCCATGTTTGAGAGGATTTCGCCCCAGCCGACGTTGTCGTGCTGGCTGGCTCTGTACAAACTACAACCTGCTACAGTAAACGCTCCTTTTTGTTGCTGTTTTCAAAACGGATTGCCTTTCTGATTCGCCTTCGGGCTAAGGCTTCAGCGAAGTCCGCTCGACTGCTTGCCGCTCTTCGCCACCGCTACCATCGCGACGCAGCAAATTCTTAACACCCCACAGGTTCACCTTTATAGATGTACGGAATCCAAGGTGAGAAGCAGAAGAGAAGAGACGATGCATGGAATGAAATATCGAGGCAGCTTCGCACTATAGTGTTGCCAAGTCCGAAGGAAGTGCAGAGCTGGGCAGCCTTTCCTGTTTCTCTTCAGTTTTCTCTCTGTTTCGTCCTCCCTTTTTTTTTATTGTCCCTCTTGTCAAATTTTTTTACTGTATTTCTTCCTTTGCTAATTGTTATTACTATATATGCATGTGTTTCTCTTTCATTCTCTTTCGATTCCTCTCTTCTTTCTTTATTTTTCTATTTTTCATACGTGTTTTTGCTTGCATTACGCCAAGCTACCACAGATTACGACAGCCCGGGTACATAAAGTTTACGCCGGAAGTAACAGCAGCATTATCTTTCGATTCCTCTCTTCTTCATACATTTTTCTATTTTCATACGTGTTTTTGCTTGCATTACGCCAAGCTACCACAGATTACGACAGCCCGGGTGCATAAAGTTTACACCGGAAGTAACAGCAGCCGCTGGTCCAGCAGGCTTGAAGGATCGTGCCAGTCAGTGGAGTCCTGGACCGAGGGCCCCACCTATAGCGAAGGCTCTTAGCACATTTACTAATGAATGTTTATTCCTTCTCTCTCTGGGCTTAAGAAATCAACTGTGTAAACTTGCATGTTTATTTATATATTTATTTATGTGGCTAGATGTGCACCAAGACAGGTGGTCAATATATCAGTTCGCTAGCCAATAGTAGTGGCATTAGTACTGGAGCAACAGCAGCGTTGCCTCAAATAAGTGACACGTGCCTCCTCTTGCGGCGTGATTCGTCACAAATGCGGTAATGCCACAGATACATACGTAAAAAAAATCAAGGTATTCTTGTTAGCAAAATGTTTCATGTTAAGCCTGAGCGTGCTATATTACCGCAATCTTTGCCATCCAGCGTCCATTGGCCGAGACGTAGCCAACATGACGGCGGGCCCGCGAATTCGATGTGAGTACACAGACTGAGATTTTCATAAATGAATGTATGAGTGTGACCCACAGAACACTTATATATTGTGTGACCTTTGTTAGAGAAAAGGACGTAGAGGTTCTTAATGAAAAATTGAAATAAGCGCGGTGTCGTTTATGTATCTCTCTATGGAGGACACCTCCACAACACCGCTCAGGGGATGGGGGAATGTTAATTACAGGGAAAGAAGACTCTTGGCCGCTGTAGGAAATGAGGTGGACAAGGGGCATAAAGGATGATGAGCTGCTTCACGTTACGCTTTCGCGCGGGTCAGGTGACCTCTCCTACACTACCAGAACGAGGCCAATTTGACTACCGTATTGTACGCGCTAAGCTTAGGTGCGCACCGACATAAAAAAAAGGAACATGTTTATTAATTAAGCGCTGCTTTCCTCGTCAGTGTTTTATCTTTTTTCTTTTCCTTTTTTTACAGCATTGCTTATTCAGCCTTGTTGTGTGTGCAGATCGTCCTAACAAGGAAATATAATCAGGAGACTACTCATGATAAAAAGATCTGTCAGGAAGCAAGGCTGTATTAAGTACGGAGTATAATAATGAATAGTTGCGCGCAACGTTGCAGGTGGGCTTGTCACTGTGTCAGCCGTCAGAAAGGGCTTATTGTTCTACGCCCCTTGGCTACGCCACTTGGCGTAGCCAAGTGTCAGAAGGCGTAGCGAAGGAGCGTAGCCACCCCTTGGCCACGCCCCCGACACCAGACGGTCAAAACTTTCGTAGTCATCCCTTTTCGCCCTTCACAATCAATTAGTGGTTATTGGTCGTAAGAATCCCCAACAATGATTATTAATTATTTGAGCATGAATGCACTGGATCCACGAAAGATTCTCGATGTCTTAATGGTCAAGCAGTTCGCGACGTTTTTTCTGGTATCCCTGAACGCGACCTGTCTCACGCATGCGCTTAAGTTATTGAGTGAAACGAATAGGCTATTGATCGCAGTATGATGGCATACGTGATTTTACTTGAACTCCGAGGAAGCGATAAAAGCCATAGTTCATGCCGGCACTTTCGGTGACGGCACGCTTGAGCGATGATAACATTGTTTCAGTTTTCCATGAACATCGGCTGACCTGTGGACGAAATCTTTCTCGAAGCGATCGGAGAAGCGGCTTCGTCGAATGCGGATGCTAGCAGTTTACTCTCGCCACATGCATGTGTTTATTCTGCCCCCCAGCTACAGGGGCGCTCCGGGCGCGAGCAGAGTCACTCTCGCGGCATCTGGCTTGTTTAGGGAAAAAAAAAAAAAAAAAAGCGACGTGTTTGGTCTCGGCGTCGACGCAATCCCGCAAGACCGGTTTCAGCGCCGCGGAAGTTTGAATAACAGTGCCCCCAGCGGCAGCAGCGGGTGGCGATACGTGTAGCAGACACATGCAGCCGCGTCGTCTTCTTCTCCAACTGTTGTGTCTTGCTGGAAGACTCGAGGAGGGCCGCTCGCTCCGAAGCGACGGATGAACCTGTCACAGAAGGCACGTTGCTGGTTTACACGGCATCCCAGGCGACAACAGCGAGCCCGCACGCCACCAGGGGCACCTGCGCGCTGTCCGCAGAAGTGCGCCTGTTATCGCCGGCGGGCTGTAGCGGCTGCTGCCGCTAGCGCGCCGCCGACTCGCTCGTTTGCGACTCGTGCACCCTACATCGCGCGGCCGCGCACGTCGCCGCCTTGACATGTCCTTGCGGTGGCGTAGCCTGGCCTCGCGCTCCCGCCTGGGCTCCGGGCCCGGAGGCGACGGGCCATGGGAGCCCGACGAGTGCGTCAAGCTGCTCGCGAACCCCGACCTGACGCGGCTCACGGTCGTCAAGCGCGAGCTGGGCCGAGCCAGTTCGTCGTGGATGACGCGCTTCTTGGAGCTCGACGGCCTGGATGCCCTGTTCGGCGCTTTGGACGCGTTCAGCGGTCACCACGAAGCGTCGTTCCAGGACGCCGTGCTGCAACTGCACTGCGTCGAGTGTTTGCGCGCTACTGATGAACGCGCGCACAGGACTGGACCACATCGTGAGGACAGCCGCGTTACACCCGCAAGTTGGCGGAAGGTGAGTCCCTCCTTCCCGGGCATCTCATTCCCCAGCAGCGCGTACAAATCCGTGGCACGATGTGATGGAATGCATTTCTTAGCACTTTGTAACCGTAGTGTTAGCGCAGGGGCCGTGCTCTTTTTTTTTCTTTGGTAATAGCCACAGGTGCTCGAAAACTTCCTAAAACAGGGTTCAGATACGGACGTTTCGCCGCCTTGTTAGCGATACAATCGACGGACCCAACCAACGTTCCAAACGTCACGTATTTTGCCCAGAAGGCTTTCGCCACTCGGCTAACAGGTGTGACGCAAAGTGTTGTTTACAGGGTGCTCATTACAGCTCATCAGTTACGACGTCGGTGGAATGTTCTGTCAAGTTTCTTCGCGTGCCCGCGGCAATTGTGTCCGCTACAGCGGAACTTGCGAAAGACGAAGACGTCTGGCGTCGCAGTTGGACGCAACGTTACAGCGCGCAGTACAACCAGGACGACAGCGGCTCGGTCTCATCAGCTGATGGAGCGGCGCGCTCAGTGACAGCTCGTTCGTGGGGGCGCATTTTCCTTCGCGCGGCCACGGAGCCGAGCGATTTACGGCGACGCACAGCTGCATCGGTATACCTTCTCTGCGAAACACGCCGAGGCCAGCTGCCACAGCTGGCGCGGTCCGGGAACCTTTATTTCGCGCGCTCGTTCGAGCACGCGCGTGACGTCCACGCCGCAATAGAGCGCTCACTTGCGCGGCGACGCCTCGCGATACACTTGGGGGCCTTTCAGGCGAGCCCCCCTGCAGGCGGCATTCGCCTCGACTGCAGCGAGAGTCGACGTATAATGAGCGTTTTGTATACGCACTTAGCGTCTAATGGAGTGGCCCCTTTCAAGACGCAGGGAGATTGTCGCCGGAGTTCCCAGATGATGGTGTCACGAAGTACTAACGGGCACCTCGTGTAGTGTCTCGTTGGCTCGGGGCGAGGAATATTGAATGCAGTTCCGTCCTTATAGGAAAGGCGGCTGTCTCTGTCTCACACGAAAGTGAGACAACTTGACAAACTTTATTCTTGTCTTGCATGCGTGCGGTCTACATTAGCGACACTAACTTTCGAAATACTTCATCACCTAGACCCTCGAGAAGTACTTCCTAGTTGCCGCTTCGCTATAGAGCGAATCTTGCGGTAGCGTGTGGTCGAATAGTGATGACAGATTCTACTGAAAGAACAAAAACCGTCACCTACCTTCATATTGTCCTTACCGCAATCGACTGAAATACTCTCAATGCAAAACTTTTGCGGAGTCGCAATGAAGCCTTCATTTTGAATAACTTTCTTTCTTAAATGTTCGCAGGGGTAGTCTATGTGTTGAATAACGTCAATTAATAACTTGTTTTCGGTCTTAAGCGCTGCAGATACGAATGAGGGAAAGTGACATATGGGCGTGGTCGCTGGAACCTTCCTCAGCTAGCCGCATCAATCTTTCACCTTTTGAGAGACAATGTTAAATGGAATTCTTAGTCTCATTGCAGAAACCTTGCGTTGGGTAGCTTTTTCCGGCCTTTTTAGTTAAATATTTAAAATATTCATGTCACTTGTTGGGGCCGAACCAAGTCAATTCAGTTTGTTTAGTGTGCTCAGTCCCGCATTAGGTGTAGCGCCGCATTTCCACGCGCGTTTGCTGTTTTAGTTTAGCTGTATTTGGTAATGTTTAGCCGCGTACGTAAATTTAGTTGTATATGCAAGGCTTGACAATGTTTAAGCAACTTAAATAATATGTCATCACTCATTTAAAGAGGCGTGGTATGCAACTTACCCATTCGTCGAAGAGAAAGAAAAACCCTAATTAAATGTTTAATTATTACGATACCAGGACCAAATAGGGCCCTCAATCCAAGGCTGTAGTTGCTATTGTGGCTAGCGATGATTGGTCCAGGTGGGCCCCTTTGTTTCCACGTACGCACATTGCTTGAATGTAGCGCCTACCACTGCCGTGCAAAGGTCGGGCTGCTTGGAATTAGTAAACTGACGCTAACTTACTATAGTCGTTAATTTTGTAATGGCTATAGCTATTCGTAGATGTTACATACATTTATAAAACAATTACGCGTAACATGCAAATGTAGGAATGACAAATGTAGTGTGAATAAATAAATGTGTGCCGGCTTGTTCTAGAATACACACGCCCCTGATAGGTGCACTCGAATGCTAACCCGAATGCCACGAGATCGAATTCCGGCTGCATTATCGATAGGCGCCAAAATGTGTGCTTAGATTTAGGTGCACGATAAAGAATCACGGGCGGTTGAAATTTCGACTGCGCACAATAGATAGTTCGTCTAGCTGATAAAGCAAGCAGTGCGCAGAGTTTTTTTCCACTACCCTACGGCGTTTCTCATATTCTTATCGTAGTTTTGGGACATTAAACCCCAGGTATTCTAATAATGCACTGAAAGGTGTATATGCTAAACTAGGACGTTAATCTGAGCTAAACATCCCCCGCGGTTGTGCAGCGGCTACGATTATCGGCCGCCGAGTCGAAGGTAGCGGGTTTGATCTCGGTTGTAGCGGGACGCTTCGGTGGAGGCGAAATGCTAGAAGTCTGCGTATACTGTGCAATAGTAGCGCACGTCGAAGAACACGATATGTCCGAATTTCTGGAGCCCCCTCCACGGAGTCTCTCACAATCATAGCGTGATTTTAAGACGTATAAGACACGCCCCGCCGCGGTGGTCTAGTGGCTAAGGTACTCGGCTGCTGGCCCACAGGTCGCGGGATCGAATCCCGGCTGCGGCGGCTGCATTTCCGATGGAGGCCGAAATGTTTATAGGCCCGTGTGCTCAGAATTGGGTGCACGTTAAAGAACCCCAGGTGGTCGAAATCTTCGGAACCCTACACTACGGCGTCTCTCATAACCGTATGGTAGTTTTGGGACGTCAAATCCCACATATCAAGCCATGAGACGTAAGACACCAATTATTATATATATCTCAGCTAGTTGGTATGGTGTACATATGGGCCCATGAAGCACATAAGAACACTGGCAGCGAGAAGAATGATGTATACAGAGAAAAAGGCAGTAGTTACTTCTGAAGTGAAATGGTAGTTGTTCTCTTCCTCACAATGACCATACCTAGCCCATCCCAACTTTGTTCGTACGGGAGGGTCTTGTTATCGCGTGCCGTCGCCATCCTGAAAACGCATTGCATCATGCAGTAGTCGTTAAAAGAAGAATGCTCAAGTTATCTCTCCGAGACGAATTCTTTTTTTTTTGTTCTTGGCTAGCGTCAGACAGCCGCGTGTTTGCGGCGCCAACCGTGGTTGCTCGGAGACCGCGGTGACGTGTCGCAAAGAGAGAGGGCACGGTTTGGCGACTGCCGGACGCATTGAGATACGGACGGAACACAAACATGCCAGCACTCAGAAGTCTTTAGTTTTAAAGAGAAAGTCAAGGAAAATATTTATTTGTTTTCTTGTTTCATCTTACTCTTCATCCAGCGCATCGTCTTTCTTCAGTAGGTAGGGGGCAGCAGGTGTCCTCTCTGTGCGTGGAGTCTCTCTTAAAAAAAAAAAAAGGAAACAAATAACGGTTGCGGTATTTCGGAGTTCAAAATAAATGCACAAGGTGCGATGATTCTGAATGGCAAGATGTGGATTTTAGACGCAATTAAATCAAAATGAACGAATGAATGAACATATTAGTTTCATCTTCGCATCGATTTATTCACATTTGCATGGCGAGCTGCGGTGCTCAGTCTGCCATGGTCTCTTATCGCGTCACCTGCAATGAAGTTGAGTGACAAGCTTTGCAATGTGGTCGTTTACTTGTTACGATCGCGTATGTGTCGCGAGGAAAGAGCAAGAATGCAACAATAGATGCTAGCCTGGCCATTGTGCGATACAGGTAATCTTAACGTATTGTAGTTACACCGCGACATGTACTTATTTACATTCACGTCAGTTTCGCTTTCTGGCTGATGAATGGTCTACGGACTCGCTTGAGATAGCAAAAACAAAAATAGATAAAAACCCAAACGAGATGGTCACATGCCAAGTGCGTACGAGAAGGGCAAGGAAATAAAGTATGTATTTCAGTTAGGCGCGTAGCATTGGCACTGACGACATATCCGGACCTTGAACGAGGTTGCGTTATCGTGGGTGTGTCTGTATGCGTCAGCGTCCCCCGGGGGCAACTTGCTTTGCAACTTTAACTCCTGCTGTTACGCGTGCGTTTAAAAAATGTTTCAAGGAAAGTGTAGTATAGCTGCTGCGTGAGCCCGCTGCGTGAGTTGTGTGTAGCTGCTGACTGATGTGTGGGGTTTGACGTCCCAAAACCACCATATGATTATGAAAGACGCCGTAGTGGAGGGCTCCGGAAATTTCGACCACCTGGGGTTCTTTAACGTGCACCCAAATATGAGCACACGGGCCTACACCATTTCCGCCTCCATCGGAAATGCAGCCGCCGCAGCCGGGATTCGATCCCGCGACCTGCGGGTCAGCAGCCGAGTACCTTCGTCACTAGACCACCGCGGCGGGGCTGTGTTCATCTGCTGTGTTAACGTAGTGCATCACTTGAACGATGCGCAGATGTTTTTCACTCGTCCTTCGCATGCGACATCCGGAAGGCCTTCTGCGGGGCGGCCCGCCCCACCGATTTTCTCTCGTACGAAGTATCAGCGCAGACACACAATTATGCCACTGTAGTGGGGTGATGTCGACTTAGATCCGCTTATTTTACGCAGCATTGAAGTCGCATGTCTCTTCCACTTGTTTGTACAGGTACGCGGAAAGTCGTGATTGCGGCAAGTTTGCGACACCGCTGGACCGTTTTTGCCGCCATAACGTTTCGAAGACGGCTGAATGACCAACATTAGCGTCGTTAAAAAAAAAAAAAAACAAGAAAGAAACTTGTCGCTCTGAGGAAGTGTGTCTGAACGTACAGCGGTCGCTTAGTGGTAAATTCATGATACCGGATGTGTTACTTGTGGAAAATAAAAATACACCCCAACCCCTCGTTTCTATTTTGCATACCT